ATATCTTTTGGATAACAGTATCAAATATGTCTTTTGCAAGTATTTTCTCCCAGTCTATGGTTTGTCTTCTAATTCTTTTAATATTGTCTTTCATAGAGGAGAAAGTTTTTAATTTTAATGAAGTCCAGTTTATCAATTATTTCTTTTATAGATCATGTCTTTAGTGTTACATCACCATACCCAAGGTCATCTAGGTTTCTCCTATGTTATCTTCTAGGTGGATTAGAGTTTTGTGTTTTCCATTTAGATCTATGATCCACCTTGACTTGATTTTTGTGAAGGGTTTAGTGTGTCTGTAGATTCATGTTTTTTGCATGTGGATGTCCAGTATTTCCAACACTATTTGTTGAAAGAGTATCTTTTCTCCATTTTATTTTGTTCCTTTGTCAAAGATCAGTTGACAATATTTATGTGGGTTTATTTCTGGCCTCGGTATTCTGTTCCACTGATCTGCTTATTTATTCTTTTATCAATACCATACTGTCTTGATTATTGTAGCTTTATAATAAGTCATGAAGTTGGATAGTGTCAATTCTCTACTTTTGTTCTTCTCCTTCAATATTGTGTTAATTATTCCAGATCTTTTGCTTCCCCATATAATCAGTTTGTCGATATCCACATAAGAACTTGCTGGGATTTTGACTGGGATTGCAATTAATCTATAGATCAAGTTGTGAAGACCTGACATTTTGACAATATTGAGTCTTCCTATCCATAAACATGGACTCTCTCTCCATTTATTGATTAACATGTTTCATTAACATGTTATTCATTAACATGTTTCATCTGAGTTTTGTAGTTTTTCTCACATAGACCTTTTACATATTTTGTTAAATTTATACCTAAGTATTTCATTTTGGGAGATGCTAATATAAATATTGATTTTATTTCAAATTCCACTTACTGACTTCTGTATATTAATCTTGTGTCATGTAACCTTGCTTTAATCACTTATTAGTTCCAGGTGGGATTTTTTTTTTTTTGGTCAATTATTATGGATTTTCTACATAAACAATTATGTCACATGTGAACAGAGAGTTGTCTTCCTTCCTAATCTATATACATTTTGTTTTCTTTACTTGCCTTATTGAATTACCAAGGACTTCCAATATGATGTTGAAGAACAGTAGTGAGAGGCCACATGCTTGTTTTGTACTTGACTTGAGTGGGATAGCTTTAAATTTATCACCATTAAATATGACATTAGTTGTAGATTTTTTTAGATAGTTTTCACCCAGTTAAGAAAATTCCCCTTTCGATTCCTGAATTTTTTTTTAAATCATCAATGGGTGCTGGATTTTTTTTTCAAATGTTCTTTCTGCATCAATTGATGTGATCATGTAATTTTTTTACCCCGTTGATGCGATAGATTACATTAATTGATTTTTAAATATTGAAGCACCTTTGCATACCTGAGATAAATCCCACTTAATTATGGTACATAATTTTTTAATACATTTTTTGGATTTGATTTGCTATTTTGTCGAGGATTTTTGTAGTAATGTTCATGAGAGGTATTGGTGTGTAGTTTTCTTGTGTTTGTCTGGTTTTAGTATTAGGATTAATGTTGGCCTCATGGAATGAGTTAGGATGTATTCCCTTCTCATCTATCTTCTTAAAGAGATTGCAGAGAATTGGTATAATTTTTTCTTAAATGTTTGGTAGAATTCATCACTGAACTCATTTGGGCCTGGTGCTGTTTTGGAAGGTTATTAATTATCGATGCAATTTCTTTAATAGGTATACACCTATCCAGATAATCTATTTCTCCTTGCATGAGTTTTCACAGACTATATCTTTCAAGGAATTGGCCATTTTCGTCTAGGTTACCAAATCCGTGGGTATAGAGTTATTCGTAGTATTTCTTTATTATCCTTTTAATTTAAATGAGATCTGTAGTGATGTTCCCTCTTTCATTTCTTATATTACTAATTTGTCTACTATTTTTCTTAGCCTGGCTAGAGGCTTATCAATTTTATCAATCTTTTCAAATAAACACCTTTTGGGTCCATTAATTCTCTCTATTGATTTCCTGTTTTCGATTTCATAGATTTCTACTCTAATTCTTATGATTTTATTCTTCATACTTGATATTTAATATGCTCTTCTTTTCCTAGTTTCCTAAGGTTTCAACTTAGGTTATTGATTTTAGAGCTTATTTTTTTTCTAATATATGCAATCAATGCTATAAATTTCTCTCTCAACATTAGATGTTGGATTAATATTTATCACACCTATTATTGTTTTCTGCTTTGCCCTTGTTCTTTGTTGCTATTTTTGTCTTTCACTCTTTTTCTGCATTCTATGGTTTTAATGGAGCATTTTACATGATTCCTGTCTTTCACTCTTTTTCTGCCTTTTATGGTTTTAAGGAGCATTTTACATGATTCTATTTTCTCTCCTTTCTCAGAATATCTGTTATACCTTTTTTTAAACTTTTTTTTAGTGGTTGTCCTAGACTTTGCAATATACAATGAATCCAAGTATACTTTTAAAATATACTACATCACTTTACAGGTAAAGTGAGCACCTTAAAATAAAATAACCCTAATTCCTTCCTCCCATCCCTTGTGTCATGTTGTCATTCATTTCACTCATATATAAGTGTACATAAGCACGTATATATGTATATACACATATATAAGCTATATACATAAGCACACATAATATATATGTATATACACATATATAAGCTATATACATAAGCACACATAATCAAATGCACTGTTGCTATTATTTTGAACAAACCATTATCTGTTAGATCAATTAAGACTAACAAAAAATTTTTATTTTACCTTCACGTATTCATTTTCTGATATTTATTCTTTCTTTACATAGACCCCACAATGTTATGGAGAACTTCTATGACTAGGTACCTCTGGAGCTTCTAACTAAGAGTTAGCCACACAGAGCCTCCAGTAATTTTTTAATTACAGTTGAGTTTTTCCTACCTACGTTCTAGTTCCACGAAGGTTTCAGATGGTGAGTCTCTGCTCCAGTAAGCTGTGACTCCCTGTATTCTCTTGTCTGTCTCTCCAGTCTTGGGGACAGCAGTTTTCCCTGTGTCCTCTCCTCTCTTATGAATCCCAGAAGAGTTGACTTTCCAGTCCGTTTAGCTTTTGACTTGCTAGGACAGAATGGTGACTTCCAAGCTACTTGTATGCAAAACTGGAAACCAGAAGTACCCTAAACTGCTTTCTAAAGCATTTTTGTCAGTTTCACCAAGACTTTTTTGTGGGGGCTACTTAATCATAAAAACCATACAATAGGTACTGAATTTGTTGAATGAATGAATTGAGGAAATGTTTTAAAAACCTTCAGAATATATATGGGAGCATATGTCAAAGCTCTTGTAAATGATTGTTTACCAATCTTCAGTGTTACCAAAACAAATGACCACAGGTACTTTGGTTTCATTTTCTCAGGGCCCCTGCATAAGGATGTGCAGGTTGTGTGTGCACAGCTCAACCTGAAGGGGTGACCTTACCACAGGCTACGACAATCAGAGATCGCAGTCCTGACCAATATATGGGGCAGCACGATTCAGAGCTCATGAATTCGTCTTTTCATGAGGCACTGAAACACCTTTGTCGTGCAGGTGGATTTGCTTTTGGATAGTTCCATGTGTGTAGCTGTGCATGTCTCTGTGTTTCTCTATTTATTCACCTCTTGATTCTGCAGTTGTGCGTTTTGATCAGGTTACTAAAGAGCTGGGAAGACAGTTGAGAGACAGACAGCCAGGAACAGAAAACTGAGTAAACACATCCTCCCATAACGAAAAAGGCATCACAACAAAAAGATGTGCTTGAAGATAAAATTTTTTCAAACAAGAAAATATAACCACTTTGTAAAAATAAAATGGTTTTAGTTGTATATATTTAATATATCTTTTCATTTATTATTTACTACGTCCTTCTCTATGGAGTATAAGTAGCTATTTTAAGTATTATAGCTTATAAGTAGTATGTTATTCTTTTTGTAAGTTTAATTCAGTATATTTTTAATGTTTATGAAGAGGAAACACTATTGATATATTCACTAAGTCCTGCTCAAAGTTTCACTGCACAAGATAATTATTCATTAAGCAGACAGAACAATGCCCAGCACACAGTAAGCATTCAACAAACTATTTCCTTTTTCTTTCCTTTCTTATGACTATTTACATAGTCATTCAATGAAATAGGGTCCTAATGAGAAAAACAAGACTGTTAACGTTCACATATTTTAATTTCAAATATTAACTTTTAGAAGAAAAAGATACTAAATAGTCTTATTAAAGGTATTAGAATTTTATAAAAACAATATTACTTTATAGTAATATTAATCTGATCATAGATGAATTTTTTTTTATAAGGACACAAAAGCTACTTGGGCTTTATATGAACAACTATTAGCAGCTATGAGAATTGGAATGTAATCTTTGTAACATAACTTTTAATCACATAGTATAGAATTATCAATGTTTCATTAGCATAATTTGCTGCAATTTCGATTACATACCATAGACTTGAACTTTATAAACAAGTACATACTCTTAAAATAAAATATTAAATCAGATACTGAATAACTTTCTTTCTACATATAATCTTTTATACGTGCCTGTATTACTTCTATCAAGGGTCGCAACTTCCCAAAGGATCAGAAACATTCATATTCAAATATTAGATACAAATGCATTCTGAACTCAAATAATGCTTTTCAGTTTATTTGAGCACTGTTCACCCTATATATTTCAATATAAAGATAAATATAAACGTATGTAAGATATTTTTACATTTAGGAATATTTCAAATCAACTACTTGGCTTTAGGTTAATAAAAGGATTATGTCATAATTTAAAATAAATTAATTATATTAAAACTATTTTAGAATTATAAGTATTATAAATTCCTGTTGGAGTGACAGATAAAGATTAAGATAGCCTTTTAAACAAGACACCCTCAGGCCTTTCTTTAAGGAATTTAAAGGTTAATGAGGACTCAGAAAAGTAAACACAAAAGTCTTAATAAATGCTATAATTAGAGTTCTATGAGAACTTACAGGAGGGACACTCGAATGCCTGATGAAAGAATACTCACATCAACTGTAATCTGTTTATTCAGTAGACTTCTCGCTTCTGAACATAATGCTATTTGATGAAATGTAGTCTGAGGTAAACTTAAGATAGTACATATTATTTTCACAAATACATGATTTAAATTATTATTCCTAGAAGGTAAGCAGGGATACGGAAAACAGGAAAATTAGAACAATGCATTTAGCTACTTGCCTGTCTTTGATTTGGTACAATTAAAATACTTAGCATTTATCGAGTTATTACTGTTTGCCAGACTATGTGATGAGAACATTGCCCCCCTCATCTAATCCTCTCAAGCCTATTAAAGTGCTATTTAAGCCTATTACAGTACTATTATTACGCTCACCTTTTAGGTGTGGAAACTGCAGCTTACAGTGTACAAAGAACTCGCCCAAAGTCATAAAGCCAGAAGCTAAGTTTTCAACAACTGTGAATAGACCTTCTCTGACAGTGTGAGGGAAAACCATAAAGCACAAGGAACCAGTGAGATTGGGAGCTTTGGTGGAGAACAGGGGGTGGCGGGCAAGTTCAGGTATCCTGTCTGAAGCTATCTGTTCCCACAGATCATTAAGAGGCTGGCGCTGTAAAACATTACTCTGCACACATAAGCCTCTCACAAACTTTTCTAGCAACCAAAAATTCATATAAAATGAAGAGCCCCTACTATGAATATGTGAGAGTGTTTCCACATGGTGAAGGCAAATTACATAATTACCTAATTATTTAACATCGAGATATCCATTACATATGATCACATTAGACACTAGCGCATTTGCTGTTATATGTGTTTAAGTTGAACTTCTAATTTTAAACAGAGTTTGTATGTGTTTATTTTTCTGATGGTATCAAATTCCACAAAATATTCTTTTACTTTAAAATCTACATCTTCAATTTATAGTTTCCTCTTATAAAATCTTATCTAGGTATTTCTGATGTACCTTGACTTCATTATATTAATCTTCATGTTACCACTTCAGTACTAGAAACTGAGCCAAATATCTGTTAAACTGAATTGCTTTCTATGTTGAAATCAATCAATTATATAAAAGTCACTACAGTGGAATGTAGTGAAGAGAATCCTAAAACTACAATTTCAGATTTTTAAAAAATATAATCTAAAAATTATTCAATAACACCAGCTGTACTTCCTAAAAATTAATTTTAACTCTTCAATTCTTATGACAGTCTTTAATATAATATTTAATATAAATGATAAAAATCTCATTTTGGACTTAGTGGGAAAAATTTTACAGGCTTTATTGAAGAGTGTTTTAAGAATGGTTCAGTATACATAACTAAAATTAGCTACTACTATTTTCTAGAGATCCAAGGGAGTCAACTTGTAAGAATATAAAGTTGCTTAAATTTAGCACCATTTATACACGTTAAAAAAAACTGATGTATAGTTATTAAAAATAGGCTATTCTGTACAATTTAGTCTTCATTTCCTTATGTTGTAAAAAAAAACCTATGCCCCAGAAAACAAAAGATCACAAATGTGTACACATGCATACTGAAGAGGTTTGACTAGATTACGTTTTCTGTTTAAAATGAAGACAATTCAAAGGTAGAGAAAATCTTGAATTTGGTTAAGTAATTGAAGTAAACATAAGAGAGAGTCACCAGTACATTTTTACAAAGGCCCAATATGGGTGTGATAGTTCCCAGGTCAATGATTAACGCAAGTCTAACAAAAATGAAGGGTAAATCCTGGAGCAGGATGCCCAGGGAATGTAGAAGAGGGTTCTGAGGTGTGAATATCATTCGAAGGAGAGAAATGAAACTGAAAATGTAGACAGGGTACACCCAGTCTGACTTGTACACAGCTTGGTGGCCGGCCACACGCACCATTTCTACGGTGTCAGCCCACAGCAGAAAGCTCCACAGGAAGATATCCGCACGAACGTCCTGTCGGGACATTGTTCTCAGGATGCCTGACTGGAAGGAGGGCTCCTGGGGTCCTGCCAGCTCAGGGACAGGGCTCTGTGTTATCGCTACTGGTGGCTGTGATAACTGGGTCCTCTTGGCAGGCTGGGGAGGCACAGGGTTTCCTTCATTTTGCTTCCCTTGATCCATCACGGTTTTTATTTGTTGCAAAGTGGTGACATGGACTTGCCCATTCTCATCACCTGCAATAAATTGATTTATTTAAATTTAAACTTTTATATTTTATTTAAATTTTAAAATTTTATTTACGTTAACATTTAAGTTTTTAATTTTATTTACAAATTCTAAGTGTTCTCTTATTTGAGGTCTGTTTTACACATGAAACTTCAAGATAAAATGAGTAGCAAACTGAAAAAAAAAAGACACAGAGGCAGAGGAGGCTCTTCATGACTTCGTATTTTCCTAGACATGAATCTTAAACCAATAATAGTAATAGCCATTATTGGTTACTGAGCTAAGCACTTTCGCACATTACCTTATTTAATCCTCAGAAAAAGGTGAGAGATAGAGATTACTATCTCATTTTATAAATATGGAAACTGCGGCCCAAGAGGTAAGATGACACCCAAATTCAAATACACAGTTAGCAATGGACAGAGATGGAATTCATACCAAAGAATTGTTTGACCCCAATCGACAATCTCTTAACTTTATGGCTGCTATTACCTATCTCGAGGCAATATATCACATACTAATTATAAAACATACAAATATCATAAAATCAAATCAATTTAGTTCAATGGTCAAATCAGAGTTCAAAGGTCAAATCTGCGTACAATGGTCCAATCTCGTCATTTTATAAGAGGCCTACAGAAATCACCACAACCCAGACTTTCAGTCTTGGAATTTGGTGCTATGAGGAAAACTATTTAACCATGAGGAAGTCTTAGTGATGGATGATACCCCAAAGTTTTTGAACTGGTCAGTGCAATTGCTTAGACTAAAGTATCTTATTTGTGGCCACAAGGCTATGCCTGGTCATCCGAATGAATAGAACATTTTCTCATTGTGTGTGTGTGTGTGTGTGTGTGTGTGGTGTGTGTGTGTGTGTGTGTGTGTGTGTGTCTGCCCCTCTGTCTACATGTGGGTGTTAAAGTTGGGGGACCATGAAGAGATCCTCAAATCTCAAGACTTATTAACAATGTTAATGATATGGTTTTTATACATGAAAAACATATAGCACATTATTTTTAAAACATTTATCCACTTAAGTGTCACTTTTGTTGCTAAGAATTTATCAGGCCTTGACAAAGTTTACTCAGTGAATATGCTGAGTTGCCTTATCACTTGATAAGACAAAATTTAAAGGGAGTCATTACTCTGAACAGCTGTAAAGGTTAAAGACACAAAATCAATAAAAATTTGTTGAACTCTATTGAACTGAAGTAAAAACATTTTAAAATAAATAAGTTATTATAAGTAATGACTAATAAAATGATTACTATAAATAGATGTTGCTTAAAACACAAATAAATCCCAGTTTTCTTGTTATACAATTAACTGTTTAAAAATTTTAAGGGCGAGTTGAGTGTATTTATAAACTAAAAATATAATCTAAATTCTTGATGAAGTATTACTTACCTCTGGTATGAATCATAAACAGTAGGACCCATAACCCTTAGAAACTTCTTTACTAACCTTTGATATATCACAGTGGCATGAATGAAATTCATTTTTATAAATAATATTCAATTGAGAAAATTAAGTACTAATTACTGTTATTTTAATATTCATAAAATTATCTCTTTTTAAACTCAGATGTTCATTAACATCAATTATATCTCTCATTTTACAAAAGTATATAAAAATTTGTTTCTTAGAGTATGTCACATCCTAGAGAACTCTCCTTTGCCTCTCTTAGTAGAAAAGCAAAGTTAGAATGAAAATCCAAATTCCTTTTTCAACATAAAGAACACAGTGCATAATTTGGGCTTTTGGAGATGATTGCCAATTCAGCATTGTTTCAATGCCAGGAAGTGGCACTCTGAGAAGTGACACATTAACACTTTTAAACAGTCAGTAAGAATCTTAATATCTGTAGATAGAAACTGTGGGATGTACAATGAATTCTTAGCGAGAGTTCATTTTGAATGAAATGCTAAGGCCCCGATTCATGTCTATTTGGCAAAATCAGAGCTGAAATCTTCATATCTCTCCACGGCTCAATAGAAGCTAGTTTAAGTTTGGGGGTAGAGAGGCTCTACTGTCTGTCTTCTTTCCAATGAGAAGCACTACAACTGTTAGCTGGAGAGCCCTGCTGGCCTCTCGGAGGGCATGGTAAAGTTGAAGAAGTCAAAAAATTGTTTGAAAAACATTCATAGACACAGACAACAGTATGTGGTTACCAGAGGGGAGGGGGAGCGTGAGGAGGATGAAGGCAAAGTGGGTCAAATCTATGGTGATGGAGGAAGACTAGACTTTGGATTGTAAGCACACAATGGAAAATAAAGATGATATATAAATTTGTACATGTGAAACTTATATGTTATTAATTAATGTCACCCCAACAAATTTAATTAAAAAAAAAAACTGGAAAAAAAAAATAAGAAAGAAATTGTTCGGTCATTAGAATGGAACACCAAATTTATTCCCAAGCAATGTAAAGGTGAACTTTCATGTATTAAGCTTTAGCTTCATGATTAGTTTCCCTCTAAACTATTTTTAAAATTTCCACTTATAGCTGGAATTCTTTTTGTTATTGTTATTAGCTTTTAGAGTTCTATTTGGGTAAACCAATGTTTATTTGTGCAAAACCCATAAAAGATATAAGCATGAAGACAGAGATCTACTCACTTCCTAGCAGTTCACATTGCCCTATAAAAAGTAAAAATAGCAGTCATTCTGTGTAGTTCCCCATATCTTATGCCAGTTGGCAAAACAACTTCTTGTCTTCTGTGTAAGCTAAATAATAAAGGAAATGTAATTTTGATAACACGACTCATACCTATTTTACTTTATTATTTCTTTATATTGATGTATTTTATCTCTGACTTGTTCCCCAGAAGTTTTAGATAGCTTACAGGGAAAACTTAAGTATAACACAAAGCAGTAGTGAAGACTTTTCTAGAGTATGTATTCCTCTTACAAAAAGAAAAAGCAATAAAAGTTATTTAAATAAAAAGAGGAAAAAAAAGAAGAATCACAGGAAAGACATCTAAAAACAAGACAGGGATCAAGTAGATACTAAAAACTGCACCATTTAGGCTCCCAACGGATATGAGTAGACAAAGTTTAGAGCACGGTTCCAGGCTTAGGCTGGGCATTGAGAATGATACAGCAAATAATGTGGAAACAGTCTCTGCCTCTGCCACTCTAAGTTTCCTGTGATCATGTTGATAAATATAGAAGAGTAAATCGTGGCAGGGCTTTAAAAGGAAGGTAAGTTCTAAGATGGGAGATGATCGCAGGGGGTCTGAATTAGACTGGGGATCAGGAAGGCTCATCTGAGAAGTGATAGTTAAGCAGCAAGATGAAGAATAAGTAGGAATGAATTAGGTGAAGAATGAAGGAAAGAACTTTCCAGGTGATGTGAAGACCATGTGTAAAGATCCTTCCACTAGAATGATTACAGAAAAGAAAGTTTGGTGAGGGGCTGGGGAGGCGGAGAGGGAAGGAGAGAAGAAGAGTTAGTTATTTATTAAGTGCTTTCTATATACCAGATGTTGTTCTAAGCCCTTTCTGTGCATTAATTCACTTAATCCTTATAGAAACTCTACGATGTAGATGCTATTATTTTCTCATTTTAAAGAGGAGTAAACTGAGGCACAGTGACCAGGTCACCGAGCTAGCAAGAAGAGAGACTGGAATGTGAAACTCAAACCCTGAACAACTAGACCACAGTGTCTGTGGCAGAGTCACCTTATGTAGAACCTTATGAGCCATGATAAAGGTTTTGGACTTTATTCTAAGTTCATGGAAAGCTGCTGAAGATAAGGACTTTGGAAGGCAGAGGCCACGGAGACATCAGCAAAGAGGTCCTTGAGGCCATCGAGAGAGCTGATGAGAAGTGAAATTGTTACTCAATTCATGGCAACTAGAAGACCAAATTATAGAATTATTCAGAAAAAGTCTGGCTAGTCTTAACAGTCCCCCAAATCAATTTTTGCTGAGAGGAAAATGATATAGAAAAAGTGAAATGCTAATGGTTTAGATATAACATTCTGGGGGGTGGAGGGGAAATCTGGAAAAAAAAGAAAATTAACAGTCTTATTAAAAATTCTTTTAAAACATATTAGCACACAAAGCACTTTTAGTCATAATACTCATAGAGAATAAGAGAAAAATGTAATAAATTGAAATAGACACCAGGGAAAACTATAAACATTGTTATTTTGACACAATCTATTGAATAAAATGACTGTATTATGTATAGTTTCCTTTGAGGAGCATATCTGAGGTCTGGACGGCAGGTAAGGTCATTGCTGAGTAAAAAATGTAGAATATAGCATCAACCTCACAGGATGGTTATAATGAAGGAACAAGTTAATATTTGTAAAGCATTTAAAATAGTGCCTGACACCAAAAAACAGCCATATATATGTTAGATAAAATAAAAAGTAGCAATCACTAAATAATTTACTGTTTTAAATGAACTAGAATAGAATAGAAAATATGAGAATACAGTAAATAGTAAGAGTGATTACAGTTTGTTTAACTCTCGTTATAATTACACTGATACCCACTATCGCATACCTCGAGGGAGGTCAAAAGGTTTGAGAATTAGTGTCACAATACAGAGTCTTAACAAGGCCATGAGTTTAATTCTCATATTTGCCTGTTCACATCACAAAGAAAAATGCTACCCCCCAGATACGCCCTGTGCAAACAGAGACAGACAGCTTGCACAGCTAACGAGAGCCTACCATGTGTACCTCTTCCCAATTCCATGATCATTGTTCAGTGACATCACCTTGGTGGCTTGAAATTGGTTATGGTGAAAGTACTCGCATCAGAAAAACTGGCAAATTCTACAAATCAGGGCTTTTTACCCCCTAGAAAGACAGTTGTTTAAACGTTGACCAGCACACTGCTGCCAGTGATCAAAACTGAATACAGGTTTTCACCAAGTAATAATAAATGATAATACTAATGAATTCAAAACAAATATTCGCCCATCATCCCAGCTGGGGTATAGTTGTGGTAAGTTAAAGAAAGGCATTATATTGTTATCTGGTAAATTCAA